AAAATTTATCCCCCTTGAACATATGTAAAAATTGAGGTTAAGAAGTGTTAAGCTTTTGCAAACTAAACGGCGAAAGACGATTAGGTGATATTTAGTGGAAGGAGGAGGTATTCAACACTTTCAAATTAAACTCAAATTTTGCATTGGCATTATACGACCAACAAGTTTGACTTATAGACGCACAGACACAAACATATGAAACTGTTTATTGATATTGTTATGAAACGAATTTATCTATTTAAGATTGTAGCCTGAAATTACAGAAAGAAAATAGGATTTCCGGTTTGCAAAAAGGAAAATTTCGCCGGCCTTCAAGCGCACCGGAAGCGCGGAAAGAGCGCTCGTGCCAGTCCTACTCCGCATCACACATTAAATGAAGAGCGGAGCGCTCGTTTCACCGCCCAACATTTATCCGCCCTGCTATACATTGACTCTTGTTTACACCTCTCCACGACGACCACTTTCTACTGCCCCCAAGGTGACCGTTGTGGAGAGGTTTAACTGTACCATAAAAAGAAACAACCACAAAGACAAAAGCAACTTGCACTTTCTTAAAATTTTGGTATTTTATTCAGGGGGTTTAACTTAATTTTATATTTCGCTGGTTTAGATTTAGAAAGAGTCAAACATTTTTTCCAGTTTCAGAAAAAATAGATTAAAATTGAACACTCGTTTTCATTTTTTATTTTTAAACGTTTTGACAAAAATAATTACCCACTTGGATACCTCAGCTTCAATATGCAAGAATGATAGTTGTGCGTGCGATAAATTAGTCTGTACCAGAATCTCGGTCCGAGTGCAGAGGCAGACCTGCCAATCCTTACGATTTTGCCGTGAATCTCACGATTTTTAAACTTTTTTCATGGCCTCAAGACAAGCCCCCCAATCTCACGGTTTTTTAAGGGAAATTTCATTCTAAAATGAAATGTTACCTTGTAGAATAAAAACTGAAATTTCATGGGGAATGCTAGTGCCTGTTTAAGCCGTGATGGCACTTCATCCAACATCTTGGCTATGAAGTTAGCTTTTCCCGAAGAAACGATCCTTTGCTGTAAGCTGGGCTCTTAGTCCCGGTTCAAACGTCGAATTTCACATGTGCCGAACTTAACGCGAGAGTTAAATGCATGTGAAGTACGACGTTTGAATCAATTAAATTCGACTGTTTAAATTACATCAGAAACCCATAAGGGGTTGATTCAACCCCTTATGAGTTTCTGATTACATGCGACGTTTGCCGTATCTACGACTGAAACAGTCGAAGATTTGACTTAGGTTCGACTTTTGATTCAAACGTCGCATATCACATGTGCCGAACTTTATAATGCATGAATTTTAGTAAATTACTTTTTTTAACTGGGAATATTGACAGCGAACAGAGTTAAATTCGACAAAGATCAGCGAGTTGATTTAATAGGAATTAAGTTCGGCACATGTGAAATTCGACGTTTGAACTGGGCCTCAGAGTCACCAGGGAAAAGGTGACATCTCGTTACAAAGGAACCACAAAAAAGCAGGGATTTATCAAAATAAACATTTAATTCCCCCAATGAAAAGAAAGGTTCGTTTAATCTTGATCGGGGAAAAAATGGAATCTCGCTACATTTTGTAGAGTCTTCAGATTTTTTTTTCATGAGTCTCCAAATTTTCCTTTATCAGAGGTTGGCAGGTCTGCAGAGGAGAGAAAAAATTGGGCAAGCAGTGAAAAATAGTAGAGCGGGAAGCGAAATGGGGATAGCCTGTAAGCATATACCTACCAACTCTCACGCCTTAGGCGTGAGTCTCACGCCTGCGGGTTGAAAACTTCGATCTCCCGCCGGCTCACGCTTGCGGGCCAATTTCTCACGCCTGATTGAAAAATGTGAGTTGTTGCCGTCTCAGCTTGACACAATTTCCAAAAATATGTTAACTCAGACCCATGTAAGGAACGAAAACCATGTGTAAAATGAATAAATGACAATACTTTCCTCGTGATCTCTGATTTTTGAAGTGAAAAGCTCGCGTTTATACACGTCCTAAGACTTCGGACGTCTTCGGAAGACTTCGGACATCTTCGGGAGACTTCGGACTTCTTCGGAAATCTTCGGAAATGATCGTGTGGTCTTCAAAAATCCCAGCACTCCCAGGATAAAAATCTCACGCTTATATCTCAGAAAAAGTTGGCAGGTATATAAGCATCATTTTAAATACCACAGTCCACCCAGTTCCCTGCCCACTTCCAGAAAACCGGTTCTCCCTTCAAAGTGTCAAAATGTGTGGCATATAAGGGCATCACACGCTTGCCACATTTGACT